GCACGCGGTCCTTGGCCCCGGGGCTTGCCGTGCCCGCGCCCACAGGCTCTCTCCAGCAGTGGAGCTGTGGGTGCAGGCCACGTGGCACGCGGTCCTTGGCCCCGGGGCTTGCCGTGCCCGCGCCCACAGGGCTCTCTCCAGCAGTGGAGCTGTGGGTGCAGGCCACGTGGCACGTGGTCCTTGCCCCGGGGCTTGCCGTGCCCGCGCCCACAGGGCTCTCTCCAGCAGTGGAGCTGTGGGTGCAGGCCACGTGGCACGTGGTCCTTGGCCCCGGGGCTTGCCGTGCCCGCGCCCACAGGGCTCTCTCCAGCAGTGGAGCTGTGGGTGCAGGCCACGTGGCACGCGGTCCTTGGCCCCGGGGCTTGCCGTGCCCGCGCCCACAGGGCTCTCTCCAGCAGTGGAGCTGTGGGTGCAGGCCACGTGGCACGCGGTCCTTGGCCCCGGGGCTTGCCGTGCCCGCGCCCACAGGGCTCTCTCCAGCAGTGGAGCTGTGGGTGCAGGCCACGTGGCACGTGGTCCTTGGCCCCGGGGCTTGCCGTGCCCGCGCCCACAGGGCTCTCTCCAGCAGTGGAGCTGTGGGTGCAGGCCACGTGGCACGCGGTCCTTGGCCCCGGGGCTTGCCGTGCCCGCGCCCACAGGGCTCTCTCCAGCAGTGGAGCTGTGGGTGCAGGCCACGTGGCACGTGGTCCTTGGCCCCGGGGCTTGCCGTGCCCGCGCCCACAGGGCTCTCTCCAGCAGTGGAGCTGTGGGTGCAGGCCACGTGGCACGTGGTCCTTGGCCCCGGGGCTTGCCGTGCCCGCGCCCACAGGGCTCTCTCCAGCAGTGGAGCTGTGGGTGCAGGCCACGTGGCACGTGGTCCTTGGCCCCGGGGCTTGCCGTGCCCGCGCCCACAGGGCTCTCTCCAGCAGTGGAGCTGTGGGTGCAGGCCACGTGGCACGTGGTCCTTGGCCCCGGGGCTTGCCGTGCCCGCGCCCACAGGGCTCTCTCCAGCAGTGGAGCTGTGGGTGCAGGCCACGTGGCACGTGGTCCTTGGCCCCGGGGCTTGCCGTGCCCGCGCCCACAGGGCTCTCTCCAGCAGTGGAGCTGTGGGTGCAGGCCACGTGGCACGTGGTCCTTGGCCCCGGGGCTTGCCGTGCCCGCGCCCACAGGGCTCTCTCCAGCAGTGGAGCTGTGGGTGCAGGCCACGTGGCACGTGGTCCTTGGCCCCGGGGCTTGCCGTGCCCGCGCCCACAGGGCTCTCTCCAGCAGTGGCCACACAGGAGCCCAGGCAGGTGCGGCAGAAGGGTGCTGTCTGACCCATTCTGTGGGACCTTTGTCTTCAGGGCTCAAGGCTTTGCTTCGATGTCTGGGCCCTGCTGTGCCGCCCGTGTTCAGAGATGTCACTGGGAGGCTGATGGTGGGCCTCAGGGTATGGCCCTTTGGTGGCCCCCATTGTGCGGGGAGACCCTGGGGCCCCTGTATGGGGTCTCCTTGCCTTGGCAGCCGGACGGCCTGAAGAAGCCTCTTCTCCGCCGTGCCTAGGAGGTCAGTGGGAGCCTGGGCGTCAAGGTGTGGCGTCAGCAGCAGCGGCCTCCGGTGCGCAGAGTGGCACCGGGAGCCCTGTTACTGCTTCAGGAGAGGAACCCACCCGCCTGTAGCGGGAGTGGGGCTTCAAGGGGCCAGACTCAGCCCTGCACTTCCCGTGGGCCCCCCCTTGCTTCCTTGTCCCTGATGCTTGGGGCTTGCGCTGCTGGGTCTCCATCTCCTCTCCTGGCTGGGTGTTCTGCTCTTACATTTGTGAGTGAGCCCCCCCCCGCCCCCCCAGCTTTATGCCTGTTAAAAGATCCCCTCTGGAGGCCCTCTCTTTCTGCTCCCGAGGCTGCAGGGTGCATGTGATCAGCTCCAGGAGCTCGCATCCAGGCTGAGAGCAGTGGGGTGGGTAGGCCGGCACACGTGAGCCTCCACCTCGAGGAGCAGCAGACCGGCCTCAGGTCCGGATTCCAGAGGAAAGCTGGGTCTCTCCTCCAGGGACTGGCCCTGGGACCGTGGCCAGCTCATCTCTGTGCGCGCTGATTTCTTCTGGCTTCTCCGGGTTGGGCCCTGTGCCTTGGTTCCCTCCGCAGTGTCTCTGCCTCTGAGCTGTGGTGGCCGGCGCAGACTGGGAGGAGGGCTCGAGGTCCTGCACTTGAGGGTGGCCGCCCTGCTGGTTCTGAGAGCAGAACCTGCCTCCGCGGCTGTCACTGGACTGGCTTTAAAATATTGAAAGAACAGAGTCTGATCACCGTGGAGCCCATCCTCCTTGGGTGAAGTTCTGCTCCTCTGTCCGTCCCGGGAGCTGCACGTGGGCGGCTTCTCTGCATCTGAGCTCGGCACCCCAGTGGGCCTCCCTGCTCCCCGCCCCTGTGAATGTGGCACCGCATCTGCGTTTCGTGTTCTAAGGGCCAAGGACAGCTTCCAGCCCTCCCTGCCGCGTGCTCTGGTAGGGGCACTGTGGCATCCTTACTTGCTTGGACTCACGCAAGTCACTTACTCTCGGCCTCCGTCATCCTTTGTGTCAGGGCTGTGTGTGCATTTGTGTGTATATAGTTACATGTGTGCAATGTATATAAAGTGATTAGCACAGGACCTGCTCACATGTAGTGTGTTATTTTCTTTGCATCTTTTTGTTTTTTTTAATGGTCCTTTGTTTGGCTACACAGGGTCTTAGTTACTGGCACGTGGAATCTTCATTTGTTGTGGCACTCAAGATCTTCAGTTACAGCTTGCCAACTCTTAGCTGTGGTATGTGGGATTGAACCTGGGCCCCCTGCGTTGGGAACAGGGAATCTTAGCCACTGGATGGACCAGCAGGGAAGTCCCTCGATCGTTTTAAAATAGAGCCCTGCTTTCTCCATGACATCCAGTAGCTTTATGCTTGTGACTTCAAGAAATAGCCTTTCCCATCCCTGCTATTCTTGCTCTGATATTTTGAGGGCGGGTGTGACCCTGGAAAACTAGAAGTGGCTGGCCTTGCTGGTCACATGGACCCCAGAGGTGTGAGGAGAGAGTCAAGGTACCCAGTCATGTGTCTGACTGACGGTGTGTCTCGGATTTACCCATGCATGGGGCTCTGCAGGGCTTTGAGGGTGGGTAACTTTGGCCACCTGATGCAAAGAGCTGACTCATTGGAAAAGACCCTGATGCTGGGAGGGATTGGGGTCAGGAGGAGAACAGGACAACAGAGGATAAGATGGCTGGATGGCATCACCAACTCGATGGACATGAGATTGAGTAAACTCTGGGAGTTGGTGATGGAGAGGGAGGCCTGGCGTGCTGCGATTCATGGGGTCGCAAAGAGTCGGACACGACTGAGCGACTGAACTGACTGACTGAACTGAAGGAGGACTTTGGCATCTGACAGTGGCCAGTGTGTCCTTGTCCATCAGGGTGGAGGTGGCCTAGAGGGAAGAAGATGGGATAACCAAGGGAGGAAGGGGTTGTTTGGAATAGCCTCGAGAACCAGGGATCCAGGGGATGCAAGGTCTTGGACCATTGCACTGTCACAGGAGTTTGGCCCTGGATTCTCATGGTGCACCTTGACCGGCTGTGCTCTGTACTTCCCTTGGAAGTGCCCTCCCCCTGCAGCAGAGGAGTGTGCCTAGGACAGCGGGCCAGGGTTCTGCTGGAGGGTCCTGTGCGCACATGTGGAATGACGCAGTGAGGCCTATCCAGCACATTTGTGAGGCAGGGTGATACCCACTCTCACTGGAAAGCCTTCCATGCTTCTCTGAGTTAGAGCACATTGGCTGTATCTAGGGGTGTCTAGGGGTAGAGAATGCCTGCAATGGGGAGACCTGGGTTCGATCCCTTGGTTGGGAAGATCCTCTGGAGATAGGCATGGCAACCCACTCCAGTATTCTTGCCTGAAAAATCCCCATGGACAGAGGAGCCTGGCAGGCCACAGTCCACGGGGTCTCAAAGAGTCGGACACGGCTGAGCGACTAAACACAGCACAGGGGTGCCAAAGACCCCAGGACCCGGTTCTCTGTTCAGAGGGCTCCTGACCAGGGGCGGAGTCACATGCACCCTGCCTGCCAGCATGCAGCGGCCTCGTGCACTGGCTCTAGCACAGCCTGTAGTGGGCTGACAGCAGGATGCATTGGGGACCAGCCCACAGTGGTCTCTGCTCTGGTCCACGCCCCAGCTGGGAGGGGCCAACCCAGGGTCACCTGCTCAGGCCCTGGTGGTCAGCAAGGCACCCTCCTAGCTGTGGCTTTTGGCACAGAGGGGCTCCAGGGGTGGGAGTTCTCAGAACCCGAGATCCTGGACCGGTCTCTGGCCATCCTGTCCCCAGAGTTGGGATCCCACGGCCTCTGTGGACGTTAGCTGTGGGGCGGTGTTATGTAACCATTTATAATCTTCATTGTTTAATGTGTAACAAGTAGTAACTGTGCCCAGATAAACCCAACCACTATCTCTAAGCCAAGTGGCAGGCGGTGGGTGTGGGAGCCAGCTGGGGAAGTGAACAGATAGAGGCTCCTGGGGAAATGGGACATTTTTCTGTGCTGAAAACGGTCTGGCTGGACATCTGTTTAATCTCGGTGGTGTGTAGTCTGGCATCAGGGCCTCAGGTAAACACATCTGGTCACATTGTGTCTTTCTCCGTGAGCCTTTGCCCACGTTGACAGTAGACCTCCGGGACCGTTAATGACACAGATGTTGTGGAGATCTCGCGTTCTTGATGGGGTCCAACTGATGGCTCCAAACACAGATGGGACTTCTTGCCCACCATCTTCAGAGATACAGCCAGGTCACCTGTTAACACGTGGACTGTCCCTTTGATCAGTTGCCCTTTGTTGGTTGACGGCGGGAGTCCCTGCCAGGGTGTCGATAGACGTCTCCTTGGAGCTGTCGCACACAGGTAGCTGTTGTCCTGCCTCTTGCACTGCCAAACGCCCCCCTCCCAGCTGAGTGAGCAGGAAGTGGGCGCCTTCCCTCTTTGTTCTCTGTGGGGATGAGAGGCCAGCAGGTCAGGGGTTGTGATGATGCCGCAGAGCGCTGAGCTTCAGGTCCAGTTAGGAGTGGCCCGGGGGGCCATGCACCACCTTGACTCCGGTGCGTGTCTCTGCTCCTGGACCTTTGGTGGTCTTTGTGGGCTGACCCTCTGCGGTGGGAGCAGGTCACAACCTTTACACTAAGTATATGTGGAGTATAATCTATAAAATTTTGAACCACTGTGTTTTACATCTGAAAATAATGTAGTATTGTAAATCAAGTATACCTCAGACCTAGAGCTGACTGTGGCTTGGAACACAAGCTCTTTATTGCAAAATTCAGACTTAAATGGAAGAAAGTAAGGAAAACCACTAGGCCCGGTATGACCTAAATCAGTTCCCTTTATGGTTATACAGTGGAGGTGATGAATAGATTCAAGGGATTAGTTCTGGTAGACAGGGTGCTTGAAGAACTGTGGACAGAGTTTTGTAATATTGTGCAGGAGGTGGTGACCAAAACTATCCCAAAGAAAAAGAAATGCAGGAAGGCAAATTGGTTTTCTGAGGAGACTTTACAAATAGCTGAGGAAAGAAGAAAATCAAAAGGCAAGGGAGAAAACGAAAGATATATCCAGCTGGATGCAGAGCTCCAGAGAATAGCAAGGAGAGATAAAAGGCCTTCCTAAATGAACAGTGCAGAGAAATAGGGGAAAACAATCGAATGGTAAAGACTAGAGATTTCGTCAAGAAAATTGGAGGTATCAAGGGAACATTTCATGCAAGGACGGGCATGACAAGGGACAGAAACAGTAAGGACCTAAGAGAAGCAGAAGCGATTAAGAAGAGGTGGCAAGAATACACAAAAGAACTATACAAAAAAGGCCTTAATGTCCTGGGTAACCATTATGGTGTGATCACGCACCTAGAGCCAGACATCATGGGGTGTGAGTCAAGTGGGCCTCGGGGAGCATCACTATGAACAAAACATTCTGGAGATACCAGAATTCCAGCTGAGCTACTCAAAAGTCCTGAAAGATGATGTTGATGATGTTAAAGTGCTTCACTCGGTATGTCAACAAATTTGGAAAATTCAGCATTGGCTATAGGAGTGGAAAAGGTCCATTTTTATTCCAATCCCAAAGAAGAGCAATGCCAAAGAATGTTTAAACTACTGTACAGTTGTGCTCACTTCACATGCTAGCAAGGTAATGCTCAAAATCTTTCAAGCTAGGCTTTAACGGGACATGAACCAAGAACTTGTAGATGTACAAGCTGGGTTTTGAAGAGGGAGAGGAACCGGAAAACAAATTGCCAATATTCATTCAATCATGGAGAAAGCAAGTGAGCTCCAGAAAAACATCTACTTCTGCTTCACTGACTACACTAAATCTTTTGACTATGTGGATCACAACAAACTGTGGAAAATTCTCCAAAAGATGGGAATATCAGACCACCATACCTGCCTCCTAAGAAACCAGGCTGTAGGTCAAGAAGCAACAATTAGAACCAAACATGAAATAATGGACTGGTTCAAAATTGGACAAGGAGTACACCAAGGCTGTATATTCTCACCCTGCTTATTTAACTTATGTGCAAACTATATTATGTGAAATGCCAGGCTGGATGAATCACAAGCTGGAATCAAGATTTCTGGTAGAAATGTCAACAGCCTTAGATGCACAGATTCAGTTCAGTTCAGTCATTCAGTTGTGTCCAACTCTTTGTGACCCCGTGGACTGCAGCACACCAGGCTTCCCTGTCTATCACCAACTCCCAGAGCTTGCTCAACTCATGTCCATTGAGTTGGTGATGCCATCCAACCATCTCATCCTCTGTCATTCCCTTCTCCTCCTGCCTTCAATATTTCCTTACATCAGGGTCTTTTCTAATGAGTCCATTCAGGTAGCCAAAGTATTAGAGCTTCAGCATCAGTCCTTCCAATGAATATTCAGGACTGATTTCCTTTAGGATTAACTGGTTTGATCTCCTTGCTCTCCAAGGGACTCTCAAGAGTCTTCTCCAACACCACAGTTCAAAAGCATCAATTCTTCATATTCAGATGTGCAAATGATACCCCTCTAATGACAGAAAGCAAAGAGTAACTAAAGAGCCTCTTGATAAGGGTGAAAGAGGAGAGTGAAAAAGCTGACTTAAAAGTCAACATTCACAAAATTAAGATCATGGCAAACAGTCCCATTACTTCATGGCAAATAGAATGGGAAAAAGTGGAAATAGTGACAGATTTTATTTTCTTGGCTCCAAAATCACTGAGGATGGTGACTGCAGCCATGAAATTAAAAAGACACTTGCTCCTTGGAAGGAAAGCTATGACAAACCTAGACAGTGTATTAAAGAGTAGAGAGGTCACTTTGATGACAAAGGTTCATATAGTCAAAGCTATGGTTTTTCCAGTAGTCATGTACAAATGTGAGAGTTGGACCATAAAAAAGGCCAAGTGCCGAATAATTGATGCTTTTGAACTATGATACTGGAGAAGACTCTTGAGAGTCCCTTGGACTCCTAGGAGATCAAACCAGTCCTAAAGGAAATCAACCCTGAGTCTTCACTGGAAGGACTGATGGTGAAGCTCCAATACTTTGGCCACCTGATGTGAAAAGCCATCTCATTGGAAAAGACCCTGATCCTGAGAAAGATTGACTGTAAAAGAAGGGGCAGCAGAGCATGAGATGGTTAGGTGCATCACTGACTCAATGAACAGGAATTTAACCAAACTTCAGGAGATAGTGGAGGATGGAGGAAGCTGGTGTGCTGCAGTCCATGGGGTCGCAGAGTAGGACATAACTTAGCAACTGAACAATAACAGCCATTAAAAAAAAAAAAAGTGTGTTTTTTCACTTATTTTTTTGGAGGGAGCTGGAAATTTTCTGTATGGACACAAGTTAAGTATTAATGGTGTCTGAAAATTGTACTTCTTAAACTTCAGCATGCCCACAGATCTCTGAGGGATGCTGTTATCATGCAGGTTCCAGTTCAGTGAGCTGCGTGGGGCCAGACTGTCCAGCCTGCAGGTCACGTGCATGCTGCTGGCCAGGGCCTCCTTTTGTGTACTAAGGTGCATGCATTTCCTCTCGTTTTATTTTTGTTTTATTTTCTTTAGAAATTCTCCTAAAAGGACACTTTACCTTCCTTGTAAGAGCTATTGTTACTGATGCTATTACTTAATTTGGGAATTGTGCTGACAGGTTTTAGTGATTAGCTCTATATTGTTATATGTGGCATTCTGTTTTTTTACCATTTAAAAAATTAAATTTTTATACAGTTTTTTTAAAGATTACTTTCAATTTGCCATTGTTATAAAACATTGGCTAGATTCCCCATGTTGTATAACACATTCTTGACCCTGTCTTAAACCCAGTAGTTTGTACCTCCCCACTGCTATATTGCTGCCCTGCCCCCCAGCGGGGGGTAACCACTGGTAACACTGGTAACCACTACTGTGTTCTCTGATTTTGTTTCTTTTTCGGTCCCACAGATAAGTGATATTATACAGTATTTGCCTTTTTCTGTCTGACTTATTTCACTTTAGCATAATGTCCTCCAAGTCCATCCGTATTGTTGCAAATGACATTATTTCCATCTTTTTTATGGCTGAGTAGTATTCCATTCACACATTGTATTCATAAATATGTCTATACTTTACTCCATTTATAAAAACATGCAGAGTCCTGCTTTGACATTTAGTTGGGTTCCTGTAGGTTGTTTTCAGTGGTTTCTTTTTTGTTTGGCACTTTCAGAAAAGTTTGCAGGCTTTTGGATCTTGAATGGTCTGGAGACCCTGCCTACTTATTGTATAATGATGCAATAAGATACAGGGATACATTGCAGCCCCTCGTGGCTGTTGAGGCTTTGCTTAGCTCCGTCCCATCTTAGCATCAGGTGAGAACCCCAGGTGACCTCAGTCAGTGGAGAAAGACCAAACCTGTGTCCCCAGGAGGCTGCCCGGCTGGGCTTGGATCCTGTTCATATTATTCTGTCAGCATGAGTTTAGCCCTGTGCAGGCACGTGGGGCAAGTGGTGTTTCCCATCGAAGAAAGTGACCTTGTTGCAGCCCTGGTCTTCTTTTCATCCGGGAAACTGCCTTCTGTGTCAGTCTTCACTCTGCATGGTCACTTCTTCATTCTGTCTTTTGAAAAATTCCACCACCAATATCCTTCCTTCTGTAGTGGGGTCTGGGGAGCTTTTGTGCTCTTGCAGTCTAGTTGGTCAGCGTGTGCATTAACGGGTCCCACGGGGCTCTGGACTCTGTTCCCTTGTCATCGCTCATCAGGTATCATGGTGATGCTGCTCAGCTTAGTGAAGTGAAGTCGCTCAGTCGAGTCCGACTCGACTCCCACCAGGCTCCTCCATACATGGGGTTCTCCAGGCAAGAGTACTGGAGTGGGTAGTGCTTCTCAAAGGTTAATCCGTATCACAAGAGCTATTATTTTTGACCAAACATCCAGACTCTTCCACAGGAGCTGCACCGTTTTTCATTCCCATCAACCCTGCACAAGCGTTTCAATTTCTCCCACATCCATACTAATAATTGGTAATTTCCAATATCCCTCCCTCCTTCCTTCCTTCCTAATAGGCATGAAGTGATATCTCATTGTGGTCTTGATTTGCATTTTGTTCTTGAGTTGTAGGCATTTTTTAATCTGTTCTGGATATTAACCCCCTATCAGATACATGATTTGTAACTATTTGTCCCTTTCTGTAGGCTGTCTTTTCATTCTCTTGTCTCAATAATACGCAGAAGTTTGTAATTCTGAAGTTCAATTTATGTATTTTATTCTTTTGTTTCCTTTCCTTTTGGTACCGTATCCATGAAGTCATTTCTAAATCCAGTGTTATGAAGATGTTCCCCCATGTATTCTGAGAGTTCTAGTTTTAGCTCTTGTGTTTAGGTCTTTGATCCATTTTGAGCTAGTTTTTGTTTATGCAGTAAGGTAAAGGGTCACTTCATTTTCTTGCATATGGATATCCAGTTTCCCCAGAATCAGTCATTGAAAGCACTATCCTTTCCCCATTAATATTCTTGGCATCATGTTGAAAATTTACTCACCATATATGTAAGGGTTTCTGGGCCTTCTGTTCTATTCCATTAGCCTGTGTCTGTTC